ACTGCTGAGCCATCCAGGGATCCCCAGAGGCACCTTTATTTATGTTCTCAGAGGCTCCCTATGTCCGTTACAGAATGTACGCCCAACTCATGCCCTGAAATAATTCTGCGTTCAGAGACTAGATCTTAAAAATTCTTGGGCACCTGGGTGGCTCGCATGGTTTACCATCTGCCTTTGGCTCAGATCGTGATTTCAGGGTCCTGGGATTGAGCCCCGCATTGGGCTCCCAGCTCAGCAGATAGTCTGTTCCTCCCTCTCCTTCTGCCTCTCCCCCCTCCCACGTGTGCTGTCTCTCTCTCTCTCTCTCTCAAATGAAATAAATAAAAATCTTCAAAAAAAATTCTCATCACAAGAACAAAAACTGTAACTCTGCATGGACGTTAACTAGACTTATTGTGGTGATCATTTTGCAGTATAAATATGTGTGGAATCATTATGTTGTACACCTGAAACTAATATAATGTCATATGTCATTTATATCTCGATTTTTAAAAGGAAGAAAATGGTGATTGGGAACAGCCTGACAATTGAAATAGACTGAAGGAGGTGGAGGCAGGTCATGGATAATATCTGCGCATCTGGAGGAAGAGTGTTCTTGGCTGTGCAAAGGCCCTGAGGACAGCAAACTCCCGGTGTGTTCAAAAAATAGGAAATGTCTCCTTCTCCATGAGACTTTCTAAAACAACCCGCCCTTCTCCATATACTCCATTCGTTATAATTCTCCTTAATAGTTACCACCGTCTGACATTCCATATATCTCACTTCTTTATCTTCTCCATTGCCTGCCCGTTAGCAGCTCAGCTCCACTACCCGGCACACAGTAGGTGTCCAGTGGGTGTTTGTTGAATGAATGTGTGACTGACTGGCCTGCCAAGCCCTGACTAAGGCCACCCCAAGGCAAAGCCCCTCCAGGCTCACTCAACCCTCCAACACCAACCAACCAACCTCAAAGCAGGCAGCTGCATCCCACGACAGCTCACGAGCTAGACTAGAGACACCGACTTGTCTGCCCCATAGGCAGATTAAGGCCTTCCCCAGGGACTTTCTAGGCCGCACTGCCGTTGTTTTTTCTCCTCCCTCTGAGCTGAAGTACCCAGGGCTTCCAATCTCCCATCCAGCAGACCATGGCAAGGAGCAGATGCCACACAGAATTTCCTTCTCCGCCCCCAGGCCTACTCGGGCCTCTGAGGCTTTTCTGCTCACAAAATGTTAACAAAGCACCTGCCTGGGGACAGGCCAGATGGGGCCAGAGAGGACCGTGAGGGAAGGAGGAAGGAGGGATGGGTAAACTGTGAGCAGTGAACCAGGGCATGTGGCGGGTGTGGGCAGGGGACACCGGAAAGCCTCCTTGTCAAATGATTGGTAGAGAAAAAACAGGAAGGTTGTGTGGCACTGGTGACCAAGGCCCAGCCTCTTCCTTCCCACCCCGGCACGGGCTGCCTAAAACCACCCTCACCCGGCACACTTGATGGGATGAGCACTGGGTGTTATTCTATATGTTGACAAATTGAACACCAATAAAAAATAAATTTATAAAAAAAATAAATTTATAAAAAAATAAAAATAATAAATATAAAAATAATAAAAATAAAAATAAATAATAAAACCACCCTCACCCTAATATCATCTCCTCCAGGTCCCAACTCTTGAGTATGGACCTCAGGACAAAATGGGCCACCTCTCCCGACCCACCCGGAATCATCCTCGGCTTGGACCCCTTCAGCCTGTACTAAAATGACTGGTCCCAGGAGTCCCGTGTTGTCTCTGCTTGCCCTTTGTTAACCCGAAAAACAAAACAGCCAGTTATCATTCTACCAGGAAACTGAGTGTGTTTGGGGATAGCAAACAATTGCAATCCAGGACTAGCGGGCTGTGGCCCAACCATAAGCAAGTCCAGAGAACCAAGTTTCCTTTATAAAGGAAAGAGGGGGAGTCCTTGGGAGAGGGGTTGTTAGAAACAAAAGAGTCCACTTGGAAGGAAGTGGGAGTTCAAAGTGTAGTGGCTTCTCAGTGGCTGAGTCGTGACTGCTTGGCTGGGCCATTGCCTCCAAGGAAAAATCTTTCATCCTCCTGCTGGGGTGGTGAAGCCAGGGGCCCCCAGACAGGAATGCAAGGGTCCTCTTTCCCTGCAGGATCTGCAATTGACAAAAGGATGCTAGGGCAGGAGTGCTCCCCCTTCTGGCCTCCCTTTCTCTCTTTTCCTTTTTTAAAAGGTTTTTTTTTTTTTTTTTTTTTTTTTTTACTTCCAGTTAGTCTTTTGTTTTTTTAAGATTTTATTTATTTATTCATGAGAGACACACAGAGAGAAGCAGAGACACAGGCAGAAGGAGAAGCAGGCTCCATGCAGGGAGCCCGATGTGGGACTCAATCCTGGGACTTGAGGATCATGACATGGGCCGAAGGCAGGTGCTAAACGGCTGAGCACCCACACATCCCTACTTCCAGTTAACACAGTGTAATAGTAGTTTCAGGCGTACAATAGACTAATTCAACACTTTCTTTAAAAACCCAGTGCTCATCACAAGTACACTTGTTTTTTTTTTAATCCAATTTGCCAGCATATAGTATAACACCCAGTGCTCAACCCATCACGTGCCCTCCTTAATGCCCATCACCCAGCCACCCCATCCCCCGACCCCCCCTCCCCTTCTGCAACCCTTTGTTTATTCCCCAGGGTCTCTCATGGTTTGTCTTCCCGTCAGTTTTTCACCACTTGGTTTCCCCCCCTTCCTTTATGAACCTTTCACTATTTCTTATATTCTGCATATGAGTGAAACCATATAATTACCTCTCTCCAGTTGACTTATTCACTCAGCATAATACCCTCCAGTTCCATCCATGTCGATGTAAATAGGTATTCATCCTTCCTGATGGCTGAGTAATATTCCAGTGTATATATACACCACCTCTTCTTTATCCATTCATCTGTTGAAGGACATAGTGGCTCATTCCACACTTTGGCTTTTATGGACATTGCTGCTGTGAACATTGGGGTGCAGTAAATGAGGTCTCCTTATTCAGCCTCATAGCTTCTAGTGAGAGACCAGCTAGACAAGAGTAACAATAACCAGCGTGTATTGGGCCCCTACTATATGCCAGGCAGTAGGCACTTTTCATGCAACCACCTCACTGACTCCTCCAAACCACTCTATTCATTTATTCATTCGTTGATTTGATAAGTACTTACAAAGCCCTTCCTGTGTGCCAGGCGCAGGAATACAGAAGCAAAGAAGACAAAATTCCCCAATCCGTGGAGCTGACATTCAAGAGAGACTAACAATAAACGAGATAAGTCAAAGGGATCTCAGGTTAAATGACACTAGTATTACTGATCCCATTTTACAGATGAGTCAACTGAGTTTCTGAGAAGGGGACGTCACTTCCCAAGGTCGTACAGAGACAGTGAGCTGGGATAGTAATCTGCAGCCCTGGGCCTCCTCCCAACTCTGACCTCTGCAGCTGAAGCACACAGAAACAGAGGGGGAAGAAAGACATCCAGAACAAGGCAAGGCTGCCTGGTACAGCTGCGCAGATCATGCACTGCACAATTCCAGGAGCGCCATTCAGAAAGACTAGAATGTGAATGCTGCCCCCTGGAGTCAGAAGGAGCACTTAATACTATCCAGGTCTCTGTGTCCCCACGTGAAAACCTCGCTCAGCGTTTCTCCCAAGGGTGGTCCCCAGGCCAGCAACACCGCCATCACCTGGAAGCTTGTTAGAAATGCAGATTTGGGGATCCCTGGGTGGCGCAACGGTTTGGCGCCTGCCTTTGGCCCAGGGCGCGATCCTGGAGACCCGGGATTGAATCCCACATCGGGCTCCCGGTGCATGGAGCCTGCTTCTCCCTCTGCCTGTGTCTCTTCCCCTCTCTCTCATCTCTCTCTGTGTGACTATCATAAATAAATAAATAAATAAATAAATAAATAAATAAATAAATAAATAAATAAATAAATAAAAAGAAATGCAGATTTGGGGGCCCTACCCTATACCACCTGAGCCAGACACTTTCAGGCTGGGTCCAGCTTTTAGTCCATATGAACTGGGGACCCAGGGGAGGGTTTCAGCCAAGGAATGATCTAATTCCCTTTCTGACAGGTGCACTCAACTGAAGGGGTGGGCTCTTGGGTGCACCTTTCTGACAGGTGCACCCAAGAGAGCCCACTGAATGGCTTTTCTTTGTGTTCCCGTGCAGGTTTCCAAAGAGTAACAAATTAGCACAGCATTTGTTACCGCTGAACCTTGAGTCCAAGAAGTATGTGGCAGCACTAAACAATGTACGATACTCTTAAAATTTGCATATATGCAAGCCCGAATGTAACAAGTGTGAAAGGTAATACCGATTCTCACGGTGGCAATTAGAGGGATAGCAGAATAGAATCTTATTTTAGTTTTACAAAAGTACTCAATAGGATTCATTTAAAATTTCACCTTTATGGGCACTTGATGAGATGAGCACTGGGTATTATTCCGTATGTTGGAAAACTGAACACCAATAGAAAATAAATTTATTTAAATACATAAATACATAAATAAAATTAAAAAATAAAATAAAATTTCACCTTTAAGTAGCTTTATTTATAAATAGCTTTGCTATTTAAATTAAATTTAATCAATTAAAATCTTTATTTTGAATTATTGCATTTAAACTCGATGTTCCATAATTATATCATCAGTACTGTGCAAGGTTGTTGATTTTTTTGTTTTTTTTTTTAAGACAAATTCGACTGTTTTAAAAGAAAAACGGGTTTTCGGAAACACCCTATGCAAAATAATTTTCCTGTGTGCCCAAGGAGGGTAGGGAGAGGCCCCCGGCCCGCCCAAACTAAACCAGAAGCCAGACCTCCTCTGGGGTCCACCTGACGCCGCGAGGGGACGCGCTGCGCCCGCGCGGCCTCCGCCTGACCGCCAGGTGGCGCCAGAGAAAGCGGGAGGCCTCCGGAGTCGACCGCCTATCTCCCTGATCCCGGCAGCAGCCAGCGCGACCCGGAAGCCGTGGCTGGCGAAGAGGGAGTGCTTCCGGGTAGGAGCGAGGTGACCCCGGCCGCTGCGGGAACCTGCGGCGCTGCAGCCATGGGGGCGCATCTGGCGCGGCGCTATGTGACCGATCCATCGGGGGAGCCCGACCCCAAGCGGATGCCCACCTTCCCCGCGGACTACGGCTTCCCGGGGCGCAAGGAGCGCGGTGAGGCCCCGTGCGCAGGCGCGGCCGGCGGGAGTGGGGCGCGGACGCCCGAACCCCGGAGCCCCGGGGCCCCCGGGCCCCCGGGGTTGGGCTCGGGCTCCCGCGCCGGGTCGAGGCTCGGCCCCGACGTCGGCCCGGAAGAGTCCGGAGGACACGCGCGAGCCTGCCTGCGTGTGGGGGCAGCCGAGGCCGAAGTCGCGGTCGGAGCGGAAAGCCCGGGGGCAGCAGCGGCCGCCGGGGGCTGAGGCGGCGGAGCGCGGCCGGCGCGGTTAGTCCGCAGGGGCGCGCCCGCCGCACCTCTGCCCGCGGAGCCCTGCGCACGCGCCGTCCTGCTCGTTGCTCCTCGCGTGTGGTAGCCTCGCAAGCGTATCGACAGCCACGCAGGCCGAGTGCCGGGGGCACCGCGCCTGCGGCGGGCTCCGACCACAGGGGACGCCGGCCCGCGCGATCAGGCCTCCGCGGGGCTCGGGGGCGGCCCCCGGGGGCGGCGCGGCGCGGCGCGGCAGGCTTCCGGGAGGCGGTGGCCGGGAGCGAGGTGTGAGACCGGGAGAGGGAGGGGCGGGGCTTCCCCAGCTGGGCGCCGGGCCGTGACTGACCTGCCCGGGGTCGGGAGGCGCTGGCTCCGGGTGGGCGGCGACAGGGAGACCGAGCGGACGGCGTGCGCAGAGGTCGGATCCGAGGGAACCGGGCGGGCGGCCCCAAGTCCCAGCCCCCCACCTCCTCATCGCGGGAATCCTTCGCCCACGATGGCACAGGCCCCTGCGCCTCTTTCTAGCTGGGCTCTCCTTGGCGTCCGTCCCGGTGCAGCCCCGCACCCGCCGTGGCTCCCCTCTGACCCTTCCTGCTGCCTTCCCGGGCACTGGGCCCACTCTCGTGCCCTCCTACTGTCCCGCACTTCTGACTCCAGCTCGTCACTTACATCCTCTTAAGAAACCGGAAGCAACCAGAAGGGCTCAGCCGGGCTCCCTGTGTCGCCGGGACCTGGCCCTGCTCGGGTCGGGCCCTTCTGTGGCCCCTCCACATGCCCCCGCCTGTGGGCTGGCCCCGCCGTCCCGTGCAGACCCACGTACTTCTGCCGTCTCAGAATCCCCTCGAGCAGTCACCCCACCGCGTCACGTGAGGAAGGGGCTCCTGCCCAGCTTCCCGTGCGCCCCCACTCCGTATCCCTGGACCCCGTCGTCAGTTCTAACTGACCCACTGCAGGCGGCATCCGAGTTGATGGCCACCACCTCCTGGAAACCCCTCATCAGCTGGTTCCCACGCCCCCACACGCCCCCCCACCTCCCTGTCTGTAAATGTTGAGGGCCTCACTGCTTGGGCCTTGTGTCTCCACTCACCCCCCCCTCAGGGAGGGTCTCTGCTCGACCCCTGGCTTCAGGTGCCTCATGCTGCTCCCCAGTTTTTTATCTCCAGCTGGGCCTGGACCCTCAACTCCAGACTCGTGGGCCCACTGCCTGTTTGGCGTCACCCACTCAGCAGGTCCAAAACAGAGTTCCTTTTTTTTAAGGTTTTATTTATGTGTTCATAAGAGACACAGGCAGGGGGGGGAAATCAGGCTCCATGCAGGAAGCCTGAGGTGGGACTCGATCCCAGGTCTCCAGGATCACACCCTGGGCTGAAGGCAGCACTACTCTGCCTCTGGCTTCTGCCACATGCTCAGGCTGAGATCCCTGGGGTATCCTGAACCTCTCTTCTCACCTCAGGGCCTTTGCATCTGCTGTCCCACCACCAGGAATGCTCTTCCCCCAGGTGTCTGTGTAACTCACTTGCTCACCTTCAGTTGCCTTTCTGGGGGATCTCTCCATCTAAAGTTGTGACCCGTTCCCCAACACTGCCTCTCTCTCCCTTGCTGTACTCCTCTCCCTAATATTGGGCATTGTCAGGCATTATCTAATACTCTGGTTCCACCTGTTGATGTGTCTGCCTTCAAGGGCAGGCATTCATGTCTGGCATGTTCCAGCCACACTACCCTGACAGGGGGCTGCAGGTGGATACTCTGGCCTGGGGCTCATCCACCTGTGGAGTGGCGATCAAAGCCACGGATTAGAATGAGCAGAAGGCTCCTAGCAAGAACCACCAGAAGCCAACATGTAATGTTTGGGCGGCTAGTGGGAAGGAGAACGTTTGAGAAAGCAGCAGGCAGGAAGCATGGAGTCCTGGCATTTCAGGAGGCCGGGTGAGAACCGTGGATGGGCAGTGCTGGAGTGGAGCCAGAAAAGTGTGGGGTGCAGGGGCAGGCAATGAGGAAATGGGACTGGGCCTGGGAAGCAGAGGGGAGGGAAGCCAGCCAGGGGAAGGTACCAGATCACTGTGGACACATTTTGGTGCTGATAGGAAGGAATTGGGACCAAGATGTCGAGGGCAGTGGGGGCACCCTGAACTGCAGGACGGCTGGGTTCTGGGCACCCCTGCTGAGCTGAGGGGAGTGGGCAAGAAGCCAAGAAAGGAATGCAGGTCACCCACGGGGCACAGTGGGTGCAGGCTAGGGTATGTGCCCGGTTCCTCACAGCCCTGGTCAGCCTCTTGAAAGATGATTTCATCCACAGTCAGTCAGGTGGACATGGCACCAGGACCAGGAGCCAGTTCAGCTCTCTCTGAGGCACAGGCCTAAGGCCTTCACACGTATTCACTTGGGCGACAGACGCTCACTGCTGATTCAAGCTGGGCCCCATCATTCCATTTAGCAGAGGGTGGAGGCAGCAGGCCTGACACTGGGATATGGCCAGCAGGGGGACACACTGGGAGCTTGGGCTCAGTGGTTTCTGAGCTTGGGCTCTGCAGGTTGGGGCATCTGGAGTTGAAGACCCAGGGAAGGGGAGGCATCTGGGGGTGATGGGGAGAAAGGGACCCTTCCTCTGTCTGGGCCTCAGTGTCCGGAGTGGCCTTTGTGCACATTAGGAAAGGACACTGTCGGGGTGGCCATAACCCAGGCCCCACGTCCCAGTGGGGGCCCCTGAACCGTGGCTCCCAGTTGCACAGCACCTGCTGGGTCTCCCAGGAATCAGGTGTTGAGGGTGGGCGACAAATCTCTGGCAGTTCAAGCCCAACAAGCCCACCCACTCCCTGCAGAGATGGTGGCCACACAGCAGCAGATGAACGACGCACAGCTGGTGCTCCAGCAGCGAGACTACTGTGCCCACTACCTCATCCGGCTGCTCAAGTGCAAGCGTGACAGCTTCCCCAATATCCTGGCCTGCAAGCACGAGCAGCACGACTGGGACTACTGCGAGCACCTTGAGTGAGCCCCAGACCCGCCCCCACACCCCCAGCCCTGGCCTGGCCCCCGCAGGACACTGCCCCAGAGGCAGAACACAGTGAACTAGCACCGAGTTTCCAGCCAAGCTCCACCTTGGTTGAAAGAGGAATCTCAGGGGGCCTGCTGGGTGAGCCACGTGGCTTTGAGGCCACCTGAAGGAATGGCCAGGCCCGGGTTCTGGATAGGAGGCCCAGCTTCTGCCCTGGACTCACTGGTGTCCACTTGGGCAGACCCCAGACTTAAACCAGGCACACAGGTCTTTCCTACTCAGAGGCCTCCCAGAAAGCTGTGGGGCACCCACTCCTGTCCCTTTGGCTTCCTGGGGCTCGGGAGGGCCTGGCCAGGGAGCCGGACTCCCATTTGTGCGCTCTTCCTGCAGCTACGTGATGCGCATGAAGGAGTTTGAGCGGGAACGGCGGCTGCTCCAGCGGAAGAAGCGGCGGGAACAGAGGGAGGCGGATGTGGCCAGAGGCCAGGGGGCCGGTGAGGTGGCCCCCGAGGTAGCCCTGTAGTGGACCCGCCCCCACCCTATGGACCAGTTGATAAATAAAAGCCTCCAGGCCCATCAGCCAGAACCAAGCCTCTGTCTGTGGTGTCCTGGTCACCAAACCACCCCTACCCCAAAGAGAGCCAGAGTCCAAGTTTGGCAGGGACAGGCAGGTTTTATTCCAAGCCCTGGAGAGTGGCAGTCCCCTCTCCCCCAGAATGACCCTGGGACAGAGGGAAGAGAGCCTGGGAGGTGGGCAGCAGCTCAGAGCAGGAAGGGGATGATGGGCATGCGCAGGGGTGGGTAGTCTCGGAACTCCTTCAGGTAGCTGCGGTGCTTGCCCTTGGCCCAGATGGTCATCTGAGTGAAGCCCACCAGGGAGAAGAGGGCCACTGTGGGACAGAGCAGGGGCATCAGGGGCTGCACAGCCTGGATGGGCTGGGTCCCACAGAGGAAGGGACAGCGGGCTCACCTGGGAGACATTGTGTCATGATGGCAAAGCCAATCCAGGACCCCACCTGTGGGGAGAGCAGGCAGGGGTAAAGGTGGGCAGGGCTGGGCTGTGCCTACATTTCTACAGAGGCCTCGCCCACGCCCCAGAGCCACCCCCCTCCTCAAACCCTTTCAGAGTGAGGGGGTAGAAATTGGACTCCAGCGCCAGAGAGCCCTTGAGTACACCAGGGCATGAGGAAGCTGCCCCTGCAGCCCCCTACAGCTGCAAGCCTGGCCTGACACACCCAACTCCCAGAAAGGCTGGCCTTTCCATCTCCAAATGCTCCAAACTGCTAAAGCAGCCGCTGAGCCAGGCACCCCTATTAGGGGCTGGCCCCTCCATGTGGGGCCCCCACCTCTGGAGGAAGAACAGAGGAGAGAAGGGCAGACCCTCACCTCGTAGGTATAGTTGGGGCAGGACACCAGCAGGAAGAGCCACGTGAAGGGGTTCTTGGTGGGGTATGGGATCTTCCTGGTCTTGGACCCTGGCAGGCAAGACAGGAGGGGCAAGTGAGACCTGTCCCTCACCAGCCTGCCCACCTCCCCTCGTCTGGGACAGGCCACTCACCCGCTGGCCGCAGGTCTCGCAGGGCCATGTGGATGGAGAAGTTGCCAAGCTGGCAGATCTGTCAGAGCAGCAGGGTCAGCCCAGAGCCCCCAGACTCCCCGCCCCATTCCCCTCCTCCCAGCCTGCTTACCACGAAGATGGCCAGTGCCAGTTTAACCTGCTGAGCTCCATAGGCTGAAGGGGAAGTGAAAAGGGAGGCCCATGAGGGGAGAGCCAGGCGCAGGGGGAGGCTCATGGCAGGGGGAACAGGGTAGGGCCCAAGGCCACTTACTAGGGGGCGTGTAGAGAGGATGGTTGATGTAATAAGCCATCCAGGCGGCAAAGCCCCAGTAGTAGGTGCAGTTCTGAAAGTGAGCAAGGCTGGGATGAGGCCTGGCCTGGCAGAGGGTGGCACCAGGGATGTGCAGGGTCCGGGGATGCATCCGAGTGGGTCGGGCTGGGAGGAGGCCAGGGTCTGGGTGGACGCACCCCAGGGCGCTCACCTTGAAGATGTTGCGCAAGGGCATGGTGCCATGGGAGAAGCGGTGCACGAAGAGTGTCTCCAGCAGACGCTTGACGTAGTGGAATGAGTGGCAGATGCAGGCGAGGCTGGGGGGGGAGCCGGCTCAGCTGGGGCAAGTCCAGCAGGCCTTCCCCCCTCCCCCCACCGCCCCCTTCCACCTGGCCCCACTCACTGCACCACCGTGTGCCGGCTGGACGTGAAGTCGTATTTGTGGCCATAGATGAAGGGGACGCGGAAGTAGAAGAGCAGATAGATAAAGAGGGGCCCTGCGTACTCAGTCAGGAAGACCTAGGGCACGAGGAGCAGGTGAGTTACCCCAATGTGGCTGATGGGAAAGGAGTCCCCAGAAAGGGCTAGGACTCACCGTCACCCAGCTGATCTGGGCCCCCAGGTCCCGGAAGTAGAGTGTGGCCGTGGTGCCCACGGGCAGCTTCTGCAGAATGTCCTCATCCTTCAGGGACTTGCCCTCTGCAGAGACCGGCCAGGACTCAGTGCTGCCCGGACCTTTGCCCACCGCCACCCAGGAGCTTAGGGGTGGCTGAGCGGACAGCTATACTCACTGGGGTCCAGGCGGAGGGACTGGCGAGCAGGGTACCACTGCGGATCTGTGGGGGAGAGGAGGGCGTCACAGCACACAGCCTAACAGCCCAGGGACCCCACATCTCCAGCGCATGGACGAGGCCTCTGACGTCTGTGCCTCCAGGACACAGCCGAGAACAGCCCAAGTAGAGGCGGGATATTGTCCTTCTGAAAGCCCAGCAAGGGCAGGCCCACCTGCCCCAGGCAAGCCAAGAGAAGCCTGAGCCACAGGGAAGGCATCACTGCAGGACCTGGGGGGAGAGGCATGCAGGAAGGGGTACCACCCTGAGGCCCCTGCCCATAGGGGTCATGGAGGGCAGGGCAAATGGGCCCTGGACTTACGGGTCTTGGTGAAAAGGTTCTTGATCTCGGCAATGGTGGCATGGGGCTCCACCTGGGGGAAGCACAGGCCGCAAAGAAGTCAGGGCAGGGTGGGGCATGATCGAAGACCTGTCCTGGTGAGGGGGGATGGACGGGGGACCTGGGCAGCTGCTATGGGAAGGGGAAGGCTGGAGCTCAGGCCCCCCACCTACATGCCCAAAAGGAGCAGCCAGGGCCCTGCCCGAGTGGGAACAGCTGTAGGCCTGAGGTCCCGGTTTTACCAGGACACCCCTGGCCTAGCTGGGAGACAGCTGGAGCATGGGAAGCTGGGCCCGCTTCTCTGCCTCTCCTCCTCGCCCCGCTACAGCTCCCCTCAGAGTGAAGGCCCTCTCGGGGCCAGAACTCCCTGGGACAGGAGCCCTTTCCCCCTTCCTGGCCTTGACAAGGGGCAGGTCTCAGAACTCCCACCTTCTGCCCAGGCCCCAAAGCCCTGCAGGGTCCACAGAGGCTACTTCACCTCCTCCCACCAGGAGGCCAGCTCTTGGCCACACCCAAGGCCCATCGCTGCCCACTCTACCCCAAGCCGGCAGCGACAGGCCTGGGGACGGTACCCTTCATACTCCTGAGCGGTAGGTGGGGTGTCAGGACACAGGTTGGAGGAACACAGTCCAGCTGGACAGCTCCCATGTCCTCAGAACCAGAAGCCCCAGGAAGGCATAGGGTCTCAGGCCCAGTGCCCTTGGCCCAGTACAGCTGGCGCCACAGTCCTACCTTGTCCAGGAAGCACAGCTTCTCCCGCGTCTTTGCGTCCAGAATCTCCACCTCGAAGAAGAGAACGGCCTTTTTAGGTTTTTTGGTCGCTTTGGCGGGTGCGATCCGGGGGAGGCCGTTGAGGCCGAGACTAGGGCCAGGGCCGAGGCCCTGGCTGGCCTCCCGGGCCACCATGCTCATGTTCAGGTCCATGCTGCCCCGCTCTGCCCGCCGCAGCCAGCGGCCCCAGCTGCCGGCCCTCAGCCCCCACCGCAGACCTCCCCACGCGAAGCAGCTCTGGGCCGGGCCGGCGCGATCAAATTCTGCCGCGGTGCTGGAAAGGAGCCCGCGCCTGCCCTGGCACCGCCGTCTTCTGTGCAGATGTAACCCGAGTGCCCCGCAGCCATGGCCCAGCTAAATATAAAACTGCCCCAGACTGAGCCCCCCCAGGAGCCGTGCCACAGACCTCCCAGGGGCGACCCCCAGGGGGCTGGGTCCCCCCAAAAGTGAGGCTTTCTGGTGGACACAGCCCCCAAACAGCCCAGGGAGGCAGGGATACCTCCCCTGCGGCGGACACCAAGGTGCCTCCAGCCCAGGCCCCATGCAAGGCGGGGTCAGCCACTGGAGGAGGGTGAGCGGCCCACGAGCCACCCAAGCCCCGGCGCCCAGCTCAGGCCCGCCATGTTCACTGGGCTTGGAGAAATCCCAGCTATTTTGAGAATCCGAGAGATAGATCATCCATTTCCCCTCCTGAGCTGTAAGAGACTCTGCGGATTACTTTCCTTGTGCATTTATGTTCCCAGGGAGGTGACAGATTCCGGACTTATTGGTGCAGAGAGCCTCTAAGCGTGTAAAGGGTCAGGAAACCAAGTCTCCAGCTGCATCCTCAGCCTGCACTGATGAGCCCTTGGCCCTTGCCTCCCTACCCTGCCTCTCCACTCACTTCTCACTGGTAGGTCCATGCAGACCTCACTCAAGGCCACCTCTAGGGCAGTGTTCCCACTGCGTCCGCCCAACATAGCACCCTTGCCTAGGCCCTGAGCCCCACAAAGCCCAGAGCACACCGCCTGGCCGCCCCCACCCCACGGCTCTGCCTGAGTCCCCACACAGTGGCCAGACAGGAGCAGAACAGCAGGGCAGACTGGGAGGGATGGCGGCCTCAGGGAGGATGTGGCCCACCCGTCCCAAGCAGGTCAGAGAAGGTACCTGGAAGAGCAGTGAGTACATGAACTGCTGGAGCTGGATGGAGGCCCAGCAGGGGTCAGCTGATCCCAAAAGGCCCAAGTGCTCCCATGGGGGGCTTGGCCCAGATGCTCTTAGACATGGGGCCGTGGCAGGCAGCGCTGGCTCTAACCTCAAGTCAGCCCCTGGCCAGCAGGTGCTGAGAATCCTTCCCACCCCCTGGTAGACCCTTGGTCAGAGGCAGATGGGGAAAGGAGCAGAATAAGAACCCCAGGGCAGGACCCCAGCCAGGGCTCTTTGAGGACACAGCCACCCACCTGCAGCCCAGGCAGACGGGTCCACTGCAGCCAGCACCCTCCATGCGTCCCCCAATAATGGGGCATGGTGGGCAGCACCCAGGACTGAGTCTGGCCCCACCATGCAGTCACTGGGTGACCAGCCCCTCACTTCTCTCTCAGCCTCTGCTGGGGGGCAGGTAGGAAGGCATGGACCTCAAGGAGCCATAAAGGTCGTGAGGCAGTGCAAGCGAAGCACCAGCACGGTGCCTGCCAGTGCCCCAAAACCTGAGGCCATGAGGCTGGGCACGAGCCAGCGGGAAGGGCAGAGGCCTGGGTGCAGATCCTGCAGCACAGAGGCCCATTTGCCGATGTACGCTATGCCCGCTCCACACCACCTACAGGAGATGGCCCAACACCCATCCCTGGCCTACGCCGCCTACTGATGCTGCGCTAGACAGAGGGGGCCTGCTGCCGGCGGCAGGCTCTGCCCAGCTGTGTGGACTTGGGGGGCAGGTGACTGAGTCCCTCTGAGCCAAAGAGAAGGACCAGAAAAATGAAGCCGGTCCCACTGCCCATAGTGCCGGGCCCCACCAAGAGGACTTGTAGGAGAGGGAAGAGGCACATGCAGAATGTGCCAGAAAGGGCTAGAATAGCAGGGCCATGGGCAGGCAAAGGGCCTGCCCCGTGGCAGCAGGTATATTAATAGTTCCTGGGTCCCAGGGGGGCAGTGCCCACATGCCTCCAGAGCCCTTGTGGGGCAGGAAGGCAGCACCGCGCCTCTTGGGAGAGGAGGCCTCTGAGTTCCTGCTGAACCACTCAATAGCTTAAAATACAACCGGCCCCTCTCCCTGCTGGCCAGCTGCTGAGGGAGGGCTGAAATCCTACTCCTCTCCCCCAACCTGGGCACCAGACCAGGGTCCCGGGGAGAGTCGGGGGCCCCCGACTGGCTGCCGGGAGAGGAAGCTGGTGGCGGGAGGGGCGGCCAGTATAGGGGCACACTCCCAGTAGCCAGAACCACGGACGCACCCAGGCGGATCCCAGGCTGGAAGAGAGGAGCCCGCGCCCTCCCACAGGTAAGCCTGGCCCTAGGGGAAGCACCCAGGGGCCCAGCCCGGCAGGGTGGGGGCTGCCTCAGCTCAGGGCCACTCTTCTGCCCCCAAATCCCAGGACCCAGCAGCCTTCATTATGAGAGAGGTCTGAAAGGCCCTGAGGGGTGAGGGCGATGTGGGACACAGGACCTCTCTGTACTATTTCTGTAATTCTCCATACGTCTGTAATTATTGCAAAATAAAAAGCGAAATAAAAGTTATGCTAGATGGCATAAGGGAAAAAAAAGTATACTAAGGAAAAGAAGCCAGACACAAAGAATCACATATTTATGTAAAATGTCTGGAATAGGCAAATGCAAGGAGGCAGAAAGGTGGCACTGCCAGAGGCTGGGAAGGGGAGTGAGCACCCTGCCTAATGGGAATCTGGCATCTTTTAGGGACAATGGAAATACTCTGGAACTAAACCAAAGTGTGGCTGCAGCGGGGCAGAGTGTGAATGTACTCAATGCTGCTAAACTGTTCATTTTTAAATGGTTACTTTTATGTGGATTTCACCTCAATCAATTATTTTCAGGGGGGTGGCTAACAGGCAGGCCCCAATTACCCATCAAGAAAAGGTCCCAAGGCAGGGAGCAGCCAGGGCTCACCACTCCCATCCATCCCCCTATACTGAGGGCCTAAACACAGGGACCCAGCTGGTCGTGTGCTTCCCAGTCTCTGGCCCCAGAACCCACCCACCCACCGCGCCCCTCCCCAGCCCACACCACCCCACACTGCTGTGCTTCCCTCTCCTTCCCTCCCTCTCTCCTTCCCTCTCCTTCCCTCTCTCTCTCTCTCTCTCTCTCTTTCACACACACACACACACACACACACACACGCCTGCCAGGCCACCAGCCTGGGGTGGGGCCCAGGGTAGGCCTAGACCAGGTCAGAGGGTACAGACAGCTGCCAAGCACAGCTCACAGGCAGGGTTCCTGAGCACAGGGTAGGCAGCAGGCCCAGGCCTCATCCCTGGGGAGAAGACAGGCCAGCAGAAGGGAGGAGAGGTTAGCCCTTCTAAGGGAGCTAGAAGCAGGGGAAGGGCTGGGAGGGGTGTTACATTCGATGGATGGGTGAGGGGGGGCCCCTGGCCCTAGGTCCCAGCACTGACCACAAGCAGGGGGTGTGGCACCACAGCCTCAAGCACAATGGACACAGAGGACAAGGACAGACACGCTGGCCTGAGACCCGGGAGCGTGGCGTTGCGATGACAGTTCCACTAGCCTGGGAGGAATTCTCACCCAGGCGCCTGAGATTCCAGGGTCTGGCCAACAGCAACTCGTGGCATGCCACGAGGTCAAGGCATGGGGGTGGGGGGAAGGGCAGGACAGAGGGTGGGGCCGCAGCCCACCCTGAAAGAGGGGTGGGGGCCAGGCTGCAGCCTTCCCCAGCCTGGAGAGGAGTGACCAGAGCCAGTGCTGAGCAGCAGGGCCTCTGGCCTTCACTGTCTTCGTGGAAATACACTGCAGATCAACACAGCACCAGTGGAAAAGGGGGTGATGTTTTCTGAGGACTGTTCTGAGCCAGTGCCAGTGCCCAGAGCAAGGCTCTAGGGATGAACCCCATCTGGCGGATGAGAAAACCAGAGCAATGGGAAAGCAGAGCAGTTATGCAACTACATGAGAGGCCCAGGGCCTTTGCACATGCTGTTCCCACTGCCTGGTCCACTCTCCCCCAGACCCCTCAGGGCTCCTTCCTTCATGTCCTTGGGCCTTTAGATAAATTCTCAGTGAGGCCCTTCCTGACTCAAAAATAGCAACCCCCAGATAGCAGCTTCTGAGGGCAAAGACTGTCCTGTTCTCAACAATTTCCCAGCACTCAGAACAGCCCAGCAAGAAGGCGTGCTCAGTAAACACCTGCATGAGGCAACTGGGCTTGCCCAAGGTCACACACATCAGGACCTAAAGCTCCCTCGCCACTACCCTCTGAGCCAAGGCCCTGCCCTGCTCCTCCTGCACCACACGCCAGGGGGCCCTGCTCACCTTGCCAAACCCCAGGGCAACAACAGGGTGGAGGCTGCTGCCTGGAGCTCTCCCTATCCTGGGCCGGGACCTAGCTCCAAGGAAGCCTCTCTGAGGCCTACAGACATGCCCACCTGCTCCAGTGACCCCGGGGGGTCCAGCATTCTGGCAGCTGGACCCTCCTGCCAGCTCTGGGGCACTGCTCACCAAGGGAAAGGGTCAGTGACCAAGCCAGCTCCAGTTCCCGGGGAAACTCGCTGTCTTTCTTCACCAGCAATCCCAACCCAGAAGGGGCTCCATGCTGACAGGCTCTACGTGGCCAAGGTCCTCAGAGGCACTACCACAGGCCCAGCGGCCCCCTCACAAGAAGGGCTCAAGGGCCTCCACAACCACGTGCACATCCCCCAGGCTCTGAGGTCAAGGGGACCCACTTACTTCCTGGCTGTGTGGCCTTGGACAAGTAACTCAACCTCTCTGAGCCTCCATTTTCTCATCTCTAAAGTGAGCTGCCCCCACCTGCCATCCTACAGGATTACTATAAGACTTACAGAGATAACAACCAA